CCCAGCTACTCGGGAGGCTGAGGCAGGAGAATCACTCGAAACCTGGGAGGCAGAGGTTGCAGTGAGCCAAGATTGCACCACTGCATGCACTCCAGCCTGGGGTGACAGAGTGAGACTCCATCTCAAAAAAGAAAAAAAGAAAATTGTACAAAATTGTATAAAAATGTATTGTTGCAGGGTGCGGTGGCTCACACCTGTAATCCCAGCACTTTGGGAGTCCAAGGCAGGCAGATCACAAGGTCAGGCGTTTGAGACCAGCCAGGCCAACATGGTGAAACCCCGTCTCTACTAAAAATACAAAAATTAGCTAGGCATGGTGGCACATGCCTGTAATCCCAGCTACTTGGGAGGCTGAGGCAGGAAAATTGCTCGAACCTGGGAGGCGGAGGTTGCAGTGAGCTGAGATCACACCACTGACTGCACTCCAGCCTGGGCGAAAGAATGAGATTCTGTCTCAGGAAAAAAAAAAAAAAAAAAAAAAAAATATATATATATATATATATATATATATATATATATATATGTAATTATTATTTTTCTTTTCTACTTTCTGGGCTGATATTAACCCAGGGGTTATGCAAATCAAAATGGCCTAAATAATCAGGAAAATGCATCATTTTATACAATCTGATGTTCCAAACAAAGAGTCGCATAAGTAGAGTGGCATAATGACGTCATCAAGCACTAAATATTTTATATTATTTCCTCTGTTAGCCTCAGCACCTTGGCTTTCATCAGCAGCTTGTCCTCATGGTTACAGGTTGGCTGCCATAGCTCCAGTGCTCACACCATCACACAGCTATGTTCAGAGGCAAAAAGAAGTTTTTGCTATAGTGTCTTTTTTTGATTAGGTAGGAAACTATTTCTAGAACTCCCCTTCAGATTTCCCTTCAGGTCCTTTTGGCCAGACTTGGATTACATGTCCATCCCCTAGCTGCAAAGGAGGCTGGTAAATGAGAATCTAGCATTTCCAGCCTTTAGAGAGGAAGGCAGCTCTACCACTAAGGAACACACATTGGGAATGGCTCTTAGGTTGGAAATCAGCACTGCCACCTGAGGCAGGAGGTAACCAGACAGGTCTGTTTGCCAGCAGAACCTATGCCTTTAACCTTTGCTCCATGATGTCACCTTTAAGATTCATCCAGCTCTTAAATTACCCTTCCATCACAAACACTATTATGTAACCACACCCCCAAACTCTACACCTTCTCTCCCATCTGTGTACATGAAGTTCCCTCAACCTGAAATTCTGCCCCTTCCACATCTGCTTTAGACATAAAGTCTACTCTTAATAGATGCCACTCAAACACCACTTTCCCAATAAAGTCTTCCAAATAACTGTGGCTAAGCTTTACAACTCCTTTCTGGTCTCCTGTAGCACAAGGGAACGCCCTGTGGACTCCACAAGTTTGGTGATTGAATTGGACTGTTTTGCTCTCTGAGTTTCAGAAGGAAATGTAATAAAAAACAGATTTCTCTTCACATAATAGAGTATTGGGGGGGATTTGAGTAAAGTGATATTATACAAAAGAGCTACCAAAGTAGTTAACATTATTGGTTTTTTGTTTTATGCTATTTGTAAGCTCTTGCACAAATCATTTAGGTAATCTACTTAAAAATAATTAATTTCATTTCCCAACTTATTTGAATGACTATTTTAACTCTCTGTTTTTTCAGCTGTTAAGAACTGGTCTCTATGAATTTTTAAACTGCTTCTCAAAATTAGCAAAATTATAATAATTGTTGAACCTAGGTGATGGATACACAGGGATTCAACACATTGCTCTACTTTTGTGTATGGTCAATACAATTTAAAACTATTTTGGATAGGACCTCTGGTTTCTGCTTCTGCACGTAAGGAGTTTGGAAGTTGCCATTCTATCTTAATAGCAACTACAAAGCAGGACAGGCTGAAAAATTAACAACTCTTCTTCCATCTGTAAGAAAGGTGAGGACACAGGAAAAACTGCTGCCCCCAAGATTGGAGAGACAGGCAAATACAGCTCACTGGAGCAGAGGCTCAAGAGTGGAAACCTCCACAGAAACTAGGTCCCTGCCCTAGGGACCCTGATTTGCTATCTTTGAGGTGGACCCTAGAATCTGTGCTTTAATAAGTGCCCCTTGGTGACTCTTCAGTACAGGCACATTTAGGAAACCAGGTGAGTGATTAAGACGTGGACCCTGGACACTTTCTGGATGCAGCCCACCTCAGTTTGAATCTTGGCTCTACCACTCATAATGGTATGATCTTAGAAAAGTTACTTAATATCCATAAGCCTCAATTTTCTCATTTGTAAAATGGTAACAACTATAGCTATTTCATAGTATTGTTGTGAGGTTTAAATGAGATCATGAAAATGAAATAATACCAGTACAAGATTTGGGGGACTTGATTTAAGAAAAATCGGCTGGATGTGGTGGCTCATGCCTGTAAATCCTAGCACTTTGGAAGGCCGAGGTGGGTGGATCACTTGAGGTCAGGAGTTGTGAGACCAGCCTGGCCAACACGGTGAAAACCTGTCTCTACTAAAAATACAAAAATTAGCCAGGCAGTGGTAGCATGCACCTGTAATCCCAGCTACTCAGGAGGCTGAGGCAGGAGAATCGCTTGAGCCTGGAAGGTGGAGATTGCGGTGAGCCAAGATCGTGCCTCTGCACTACAGTCTGGGTGACAAAGTGAGATCCCCTGTCTTAAAAAAGAAAAAAAAAGAATAGCAAAGATATCTTGAATTTACAATTTTTATGAAACCAAAGGACTATGTGAACACATTGTTAGGGCCCAGGAAACTTTATTAACTTCATGGAAAATCTGCCTCTGAGTAGTTATTATTTTATTTTGCCTAGACTTCATGTATGTCATTCCTTTTAGTTTTTGCAATGACCACATGCAAAAAGTGTTATTTTTACCACTTTATAGTAGAAGAATCAAAATAGAGGCTTACGGAGATGGTGGTCTGCCCAAGACTACACCAAAAACAGTAGCTGTACAAACCCAGGACTACCATGTTCCAGGGCTCACCCGTACTGTCTGGACCACATAACGAACATGCACACTCTGTCTTTATTAGTCCTCCTTTTAGGTGAATGACCTTGTTGAAGTTAAAGAGCGATACAGAGTCTCAACTTAGTTGGCTCTTCCATATTACAGTGGGTCACCATGGAGCTGGAACTGTTCTCAGTTTTGAAGCCAAAATCTCAAGGTTTCTATTACATGCATGCTCTAGCAACTAATTGGTTAAACAAACTTGCGAAAGGCTGACTGAACAAATGTAATGCCAGTGTGTTCACGCATAATGGGAGGGTGCCTGCCTGATAATCAGTGCAGTCAAAGGGCTAAACCACAGATCAGAAGACAGCTTGGTAAACCTGGAATCAGAAATAGGAGTTGGGTTTCATGATGAGATAGTTTCATCAAACTAGGCTAATCAAATGAATGGCTGTTTCTTCAGGGGAGATACACAGTCATGCATCACTTAAAGAAGAGGACATGTTTTGAGAAATGCATCATTAAGTGATTTTGTCATTGTTCAAATATCAAAGAGTATACCTACACAAACCTAGATGGCTTAGCCTACTACACACCTAACCTATATGGTAGAGGCTATTGCTTCTAGGCTACAAACCTGCACAGCATGTTACTGTACTCAATACTGTAGGCAATTGTGACACAATAGTATTTGTGTATCTAAACACATCTAAGCATAGAAAAGATGTATAATTTTTTTTTTTTTTTTTTTTGAGACGGAGTCTCACTCTGTCGCCCAGGCTGGAGTGCAGTGGTGCAATCTCAGCCCACTGCAAGCTCTGCTTCCTGGGTTCACGCCATTCTCCTGCCTCAGTCTCCTGAGTAGCTGGGACTACAGGCACCTGCCACCACGTCTGGCTAATTTTTTGTATTTTTAGTAGAGACGGGTTTCACCATGTTAGCCAGGATGGTCTCTATCTCTTGACCTCGTGATCTGCCCTCCTTGGCCTCCCAAAGTGCTGGGATTGATTACAGGCGTGAGCCACTGCGCTTAGCCAATTTTTTTTTTTTTTTTTTTTTGAGACAGGGTCTCACTCTGTCACTTAGATTAGAGTGCAGTGGCACAATGACAACTCACTGCAGCTTTGACCTCCTGGGCTCAAGTGCCCATCATTGACCAAAATGTCATTATGCAGTGCATAAGCGTACATCTGCCAATCAAATAGTGGTTGAGGTCAGGAATCAGAATATCAGCTCTTTCAAGGAAGCATTGGTCAAAAGGCAACAAATTCTCTCTCTCTGTTCTCCTTTTTAAAGCAAATCTCCATAAGCATAGTTTGTACTGTTTTGGTTATCAGTGTCTAAAAACATAATTTTACCTGTTTTAGGAAATGTATTGGCTCACATAACTAAAAAAAATCTAAGGGCAGCTCATGGCCAAATTGGGGCCCAAATGATGTGTTCCCTTCCATGTGTTGCTTAATTCTCAGGCTTCACATGGAAGTAAGATGGCTATAGCTGCTGCAGTCATCAAGTTTCAAGTTCAAGTACATTAAGGTTCAAGTACAACATATGTCTTAATCCTTTTCCTGTTGCTATAACAATATACCTGAGACTGGGTAATTTATAAAGGAAAGAGGTTTATTAGGCTCACAGTTCTAGAGACTGGGACGTTCAAGATCAGGCAGTTGCATCTGGTGAGGGCCTCCTGCTGCATTGCAGTGTGTCAGAAAAGTAGAAGGGCAAGCAAAAGAGACCAAATGCAAGAGGCAGTCTTGCTTTATAACAACCCACTCTCATGGGAACTAATCCAGAACTGAGAGAACAAGAACTCACTGCAAGAGTAAGGCATTCATCCCTCTTAACAATCTAATCACCTCTTAAAGGCACCATCTCCCAATACTGCCACCCTGGAGTCCAAGCCTCACTGTGAGTTTGGTGTGGATAAACCATATTAAAACCATGGCAATACTGGGGTGGGGGAAAGAGCCTCTTGCAGTGGCACTAATTTAACTGACTTCAATTACTTGCTCACCTTTGAACCGATCATGAGGAATGTGAAATGCTGATTGGCAGAGACCTGGGTCATGTGCCGTTCCTCTTGAGCAGAGGGTGGAGCTCCAGACACTTCATGGGTTGTTGAAAGGTGGCTGCCTAAACAAATACAAGGTAGGCTTGATGGAGAAAAGGGGGAATGGAGGTAAACAACTGTGTACTAAACTAAGGTTTCATGTCTTATTTATTAACGTACAGTTGACAGGCCGAGCATGGTGGGTCACACCTGCAATCCCAGCACTTCACGAGGCCAAGGCAAGCAGATCACCTCAGGTCAGGAATTCAAGACCAGTCTGGACAACATAGTGAAACCCCCTCTCTACTTAAAAAAAAAAAAAAAAAAAAAATAGCCGGTTGCGGTGACAGGCACCTGTAATCCCAGCTATTCAGGAGGCTAAGGCAGGAGAATCACCTGGACCCAGGAAGTGGAGGTTGCAGTGAGCCAAGATCACACCACTGCACTCCAGTCTGGTTCGTCTCAAAAAAAAAAAAAAAAAAAAACCACAGTTGACAGTGTTATTTGTGTCCTAACAATAACCACATTCCCGTCACACCTTTCTTGGGATACACCCCAGTAGCTCCTTTGAGCCTGGGTGTCTCCCACAAACTGTTTCTTATGATATGTAACTTCTGCAGTTGACTAAACTCATTCAACATAAGTGGTTCGATTTACCACCCATTATAAAAGGAGAATGTACTTTTTAAAATATATATATACATATAATAAAAATGCATAAAAAACAAAAGACTTTCCCACACATAAGTAAGCATTTATCTCATCACGTAAGCATAAGCACTATTTCTTTTTTGTTTTTTTTTTGCTTTGAGACAGAGTCTCACTCTGTAAACCAGGCTGCAGTGCAATGGCCTGATCTCAGCTCACTGTAACCTCCGCCTGCCCGGTTCAAGTGATTCTCCTACCTCAGCCTCCTGAGTAGTTGGGATTACAGGTGTGCACCACCACACCAAGCTAATTTTTTAATTTTTAGTAGAGATGAGGTTTTTGCCATGTTGGCCAAGCTGGTCTCGAACTATTGGCCTCAAGCAATCCACCTGCCTTGGCCTCCCAAAGTGCTGGGATTACAGGCGTGAGCCATGGTGCCCAGCCCATTCCAGCCTGTCTTCTATGGATAAAGTTCGTTTTTTGTCATGATCCTTTTTTACATCCTGTTTTACATTGTTGTGATCCTCCTGCCTTTTCCTTTAGCATTATGTCATAAACATTTTCAAGGTTATTACATAGGCTTTATTAATATAATTTCTTTTTATAAAAATATTTGACAAAATATTACAAGAGCAATGTATTTGTGGCAAAATAATTCAAATAACACAGAAATATATAAAGTTAAAAAGTAAAATCCCCAGATTTCAGGAATGTGGACTAAACTCATGCTGAAATCTCCTTCAAAAGACCCCAGGAAGAGATTTTTTTAAAGATACAAAAAGAAAGAGAGAAGAAGGAAGAGAGGGGTGTGAAAGACAATACAGCCACTTTTGAAAACAAGGAAGGACCCTCTCTCTAAAGGCTGGGCAGCATTCCTCAAGGAAGTGAGGAGATAGGAAACCACAAGTAAGCCAAGAGGCCCCAGCTCCTCAATTCCAGGTGGGACTTGAAGCCCAGGGTGTAGGCAGAGGTGTAGCCCACGTGGCAGAAGGTAAGCTTGGTCAACCTCTGAAAATGGCCCATGCCATCAAAAAGAGAAAATCTCAACAAAAGTGGGGACTTGCATCTGAGAAAAGAGACTGACCAGAATGACGAGGATCTGAAAAGTAGAGACTTCATATCCTCAAGACAGCTCTCAGTCTTAGCTGCACGCTAAAATCACCTGGGAGCTTAAACAGGAAACACACACACACTGTTTTGCTCTACTACACTCAACCCTTCTGACTCAAAATGTCTCAGGGCTTATTCTACCCCGAAGAATCCTCCAACTCTTTTGACACCCACTAGGTGTATCACAATTTAATTATGACACTAACTACCTGGAGTGACTGCAGATGCCACAGGTTAAGGGCTCAGTCCCACAAAACTGCCCCCAAACTTCAGATGCCAATTGCAGCTAGTGAGTCCCTAGGTTACCCACACTTCTAACTTGGCTACAAATTGGAGGTGCCCATTTGCTATGATGGCTCACAGAACCCAGGGAAACACTTATGTTTACCTGTGTTTGCCAGCTTTTTTTTTTTCTGAGACAGGGTCATGCTTTCTCTCCCAGGTTACAGCAGAGTGGCATGGCTATGGTTCACTGCAGCCTCGACCTCCAGGCTCAAGTGATCCTCCCACCTCAGCCTCCCAAGTACCTGGACTATAGGTGTGCACCTCCAAGCCTGGCTAAGTTTTTATTTTTCATGGAGATGGGGTCTCATTGTGTTGCCAGAACTCAAGTGATCCTCCCACCTTGGCCTCCCAAAGTGTTGGGATTACAGGCATGAGCCATCATGCTTGGCCTGTTTACCAGTTTATTATAAAGGATATGATAGAGAATACAGATGAACAGCCAGATGAAGAGGTACACAGAGTGAGTCCAAACATGTCCTGAGGGCAAGAATTGGGGTGCACCACCCTTCTAGCATGCAGATGTGTTCACCAATCTAGAAGCTCTCTGAGTCTTGTAGTCTTATGGAAGCTTCATCACATCGGCATGATGGGTTATTAACTCAATCTCCAGCTCTGCTCCCCTTCCTGGGGAGAACAGGGGATGGGACTGAATGTTCCAAGCTTCTAATCATGGCTTGGTCTTTCTGCTGACCAGTTCCCATCCCAAAGCTATCCAGGAGCCCCCCAAGAGTTGCCTAATTATTAATAGAACAAATGACCCTTCTAGTACCCAGGAAATTCCCAAGGATTTAGGAGCTCTTTGTCAGGAACCAGAGTCCAAGACCAAATATTAGAACAAATGATGTACCTTGCATCCCTGCCACTCAGGAAATTACAAGGGTTTTAGGAGTTCTGTGCCAGGGACTGGGGAGGAAAACCACATATATGTTTTATTATATCATAATGTCACAGAGCTTTTCAGGGTTCATTGCCCATTACTCCCCAGAACAGATATTCCCTAGACCTAACTGTTGATCAGTGAAATCAGAATTTCAAGTCCAAAAGCTTCAAAAGCAGGAAGCCAACAGTGCAGCCCTCAGTCTGTAGCCAAAGGCCTGAGACCCCTCAGAAGGCCACTAAAGTAAGTTCCAGAGTCCAAGGGCTGAAGAACCTGGAGTCTGATGTCCAAGGACAGGAGGAGGGGAAGCAAAGGTTCAAGTGATTCTCGTAACTCAGCCACCCAAGTAGCTGGGATTACAGGCACCTGCCACCACACCCAGCTAATTTTTGTATTTTTAGTAGAGACGGGGTTTCACCACGTTGGCTAGGATGGTCTCAACCTCCTGACCTCATGATCTGCCTGCCTCAGCCTCCCAAAGTGCTAGGATTACAGGCATGAGCCACCGTACCTGGCCCAAACATCAGTATTTTTAAACTTCTCAGATATTCCAATGTGCAGCCAAAGTTGATTTCTTGTGCCCAGAAAACTAAAGTAGAGAATCATATCCACAAAATGAGAATGGGTGGCTGTAAAATAACAGCACATTATAATTAGGAAGAATTAGCAAAAGATGCTGAAAATAAAATAACTTGTAATTTTTGGAAGAAAAAAAATCAATAATGCTCTGAATATCAGACTAGACATGACCATGAAGGCAGTCCCTTCAGATGCCTCGCTTCCCAGCACTCATTCAGCCTCTTTCCTCCCACCTGCCCCCTTATCCTTTCTCTAACCCAATCCTAGACCCTGTGAATGTAGTTAAAAGAGCATAATAACAACAGTCTTCCAACCAAGAGCAACAAAGGAAGCTCCAGGAGGCCAGCAGCTGCGGGTCACGGGGGTTCTGCGAATGTGCTCTTTCTAACTGCTATAGCTCCCTGCTGCCTGAGGCTCTGCCAGACTCCGACTCCCAGCATGGGAGACTCACCTGCAACTTTCGTTGAGAGTATATGGGGAGGGGCCTTGGCAGGAGCAAGTTCAGTAGACATCTCACCATACCTTCGTCTCTTTTCTCCCCAACCTCCACCTTAGATTTATAGGAATATAAAATCTGATTAAAATAGCAATTAGGACAGCTTTAAAGGGAAAAATAAGCTCCAGAAAGCCACCTGCTCCATCCCACCCACACCTGCCCTCTGTCTCTACCTGGCCCTAACAGCTACAGGGAGCAAAGGAAGACTTGCTCTATCCCAGGGGCAACTCAGCATTGGAATGAGACAGTGGGGACTGGCAAACACGTGACTTGGTGCAGGCTTCTCCAAGCAGTTATGTTGGTAGGCTGAGAAAGGAAGAAGCAAGGAGCCGGCATTTTGGAACCTCGCAGATCTTAGTTTGACTTCCCGGGCTGCTACTTGCTTACTTGTTTTGGGCCTAGAAGGCCTTGGGTTTGAATCTCAGGTTGACTCTTGGACAAACACCTACAGGTGAGGAAGTGAGCACCACACCTCTAGCTGGACAGGCTTCTGAAGCTGGCAGGCTATGTACTTCCTGCATATGGGGAAAGGGACGTCCTTTGAGACCCCCTTAACAAGGAAAGGCTTGACTACTGACACACTGGGAGCAGATGGACTACAGGCTCCAGGTACTTCTGCCCGAAAGTTCCTTAGCATCTCTCCTATGGCACTCTACCTCCTGACAGCTTCCAAGCCAGGTGTGATGCTGCTTCCTTCCTCATCAATACAGCCTCATTGTTCAGCCTATTGCTGCCTAAGCTGCCCCAGTTCCATGGGGTTCCTATCTGCAGCATCAACTAATCCTGAGGGCAAGAGCTGGGGAAGGCATTGAAACAAAGGGCTATAACATCCTTCCCTTTTTCTCCATACTGTCTTCAATGTCTTGAAAGCTGGAGAACCATACACCCTTTCCTAAATGCCCAGGAAGAGAAGAGATTGGAAAATGGAGCTCCTGGGCCCAGTCTTCCTGGGGGAAAGTTTCTTTGAATCAGGAAAGCAGGTGATGTAAAGGCCAACTCATGGTCCTCCCTCACAGGGAGCCATGTCTAGGCAGCTTGTCTGGTCATTATATTTTTCTGTGTCTTCCACCCCTACCACCTACCAGGTCTGTTTTACTGTGTTTTTTCCCTTATAGTAAAGATAATTAAAAAAAAAATACAAACAGATTCAGCTCTAAGTAGACACCAACCCAACCTGCTGCAAAGGGATGAGGAGATGGTATGGCCACAACAGCTGGTCAGTGTCCTGAATGACCTTCTAGTTCCTGACTAATGGCCACCTTCCAGGGTGGTATGATGTTCCTGCGCTAACCTT